GCAAACGAAGCCTGCACGGAGGAATCCGCAGCAGGTGCGCTGGGGGGAGAGTTTGTTTGGCTGTTGTTGTTGTGCTTTGTTTGGGGGAATAGTTGTCTTTCCAGCCACTTGTCTCATCCAGCCACTGCTTTTTGATGTGCAGTTGACCTGAGTGCTGAAATATATATATATATATATATTTTAAATGTAAAAGGTGTGTACAGCTTTGGTGGAACCCTGCTTTTTAAAATACTCTGGCTTTTCATTGAGCTGCTGTTGGGTTCACACGGGGTACCCCATGGTCGGAGCAGGTAAGGATTTTATCTTGTTAAGATTTGAGTTACACCATGCACCTTTTACATTTATGTTGTACGATTTTTTTTCCCTCCTAGATTCTTTCTAAACAGTTTAGTCATGAAAAGATACAATGGAAAAGCAGATGAGGGGCAGAATTCCACATGGAAGACAATGAAATTGAATCCACAAGTGGGCCTGGGTAATGGACAAAACACCTGTCCAAGCATTATCTTTAAGTGTGGGCATGGAGGAAATAAACAGAGTGGAGAGGACAGCCCAACTGGTGAGAGCTTCTTCCATGGCAATTCTGCCTCACAGGTCCCATCATGTCTCCTAGGTAAAACATAGCCCCGAAAGCACTGTTGTTTGATTGTATACACTTGAGAACTTAGCTTGAGGTAAGCTCGTGGTCACATGACTAAGGGCTTACTCACTCAGCTACACCCCATGACTTTGCTCCCCAAACTCTTCTTTCTATAATCAAGTTGCATGGGCTGTTGAGAAAAGTATAACTGCGAGCCAGAATCGTGACACCCAAGTCTTCTGGGGTCCAAAGGGAGCCAAAGGTTTGTGAAGCCATTTCAGCTTGGGGACACTGCTCTGCTGAAGACCAGAGAGTGTGGGCAAGCTAATTGACACTCCCTGTTTTATTTCATACCTTTCCTTTGGGGTCTGTTGTTCAGAGAAAGGCCATCAAGACTTTGAAGTACTAATCACTTGTTTCAAAGACCGGTTTTGCCCTTCATTTTCCTCCACTTTTGGTATAAGTTCACCCAAAATGTATGATGTGACTTGTACCATAGCACGTTTTCCTTTCCTCTTTATTTTTCTTTCTTTCTTTGTTCTCTCTCTCTTTCTTTCTTTGTTCTCTCCTTCTTTCTTTCTTTCTTTCTTTCTTTCTTTCTTTCTTTCTTTCTTTCTTTCTCTCTCTCTCTCTCTCTCTTCCTTCCTTCCTTCCTTCCTTCCTTCATTTTTTCCTTCTTTTCCTCCCTCCCTCCCCACCTCTCTCCCTCTCTCCCCCTCTCTTTCTTTCTTTGATGCTTCTTCCAGTATCTAAGTTACCAACAGAAAAGTGACAATAATTGAAATTATTATGGTATTTTTCATTCAAATTTTTCAAGCATCTTTTAGAGGAATGTTAGAATATTGGTAGACTTCCACTGGGCTATCAAACACAGCTTTTGATAGAAAGACATATAGGAATATAAAGGAGTCATCTAATACATATTGCTAGTAGTAGTATGAAAAAGATCTCCCTGCATTCATTTATTGCTTTAATGAATACATATGTATCTAAGATATAAATAACTTTTTACAGTTTAGAATGGGATGTCATATGAAAATTGTCAGCTAATTTCCTTCTTGATCCTTCTGCAATGTGTCAATCACAGAAATGGGAGCTTTACCTTGTTACACCTTCACACCATTCAGCACTCATTTGCCCCTTCCCCATGGGCTAGCCAGAGATGATATACTTGGGGGAGTATTTTTGAGGCATATCCTTCTTTCACACCAGCATCATCACTTTGCCCAGGTATAGGCAACCCATGCCATTTTCCTTAGAAAGCCACAGTTAGATAGAGGTCTTGCATGTCAGACTGGGAGTCTAGGGGTAAATTAGAATTCATGTCCATTTGTGCTGAATTTCGTGTACTTGAATATGTGAAAATTAGAACCTCAGTCTGTTGGCCGAGGGTGAAGAGTGAAAACAGAGCTGCCCTCAAATCTAAAGCCTTTTGAGCACCATCAGGATACCACAAATGGAAATTTCCTTACTGACCTGATATAAAGGGTCATGGTCAAACCAGGTGTGCAAAAAATATTGTATCCATGCTATGTTTACAAGGTGGGTAGAAACAAATATATTTCATGCTTACACTTAGGACTCTTCCCCAAGACATTTCATTCTATATGTATAAATATTCTAGCATCCTCCGCCATGCAAAATCGTCAACATTTCTGGTCCCAATCACTTTGCATGAAAGACAATCTTTATTTGTTTCAAATTCGGTATCAGTTCTGAGTAGTCTCCCAGCTCCAACTTTGCCCTCCATCTCTCCCTCCCCCTACACACACACACACACACACACACACACACACACACACACACACACCACCCACTATCACTTTCCCTCTTTCATTGAACTCTTGAAAATCCCCCTCTTCTACTTAATACTCAACTCTTCTCCTTTCTGAAGCACCCTTTCCCCAAATGAACACTTCCTGTCCCCTCCCCAAGTGCAGCTAATCACACCAGGTTATTGTGTAGGAAGTACGTGGGAATGTGTGTAAAGATCATCCATGCCAGAATGACCAGCTTCTCTTAGGTAGAGAGCTACTGCTGTTTTGATGAAAATGGGTGCTAGGGTCCATGTTTATCTACCTTGGCCTGTACCTGGCAGGCGGGATGGGTTAGAGGATGTGATTTTTTAAAAAATAATTTATTTATTTTTATGTGCATTGGTGTTTGGCCTGCATGTATGTCTGTGTGAGGGTGTTAGATCTCCTGGAACTGGAGTTACAGACAGTTATGAGCTGCCACATGGGTGCTGGGGATTGAACCTGAATCTTCCATAAGAGCAGCTGGTGCTCTTAACCACTGAGCCATCTTTCCAGCCTGATGTGATATTTTTGACAAGGAGCTTTTCAACACGTCTTGGTCCTTCTGAAGACCAACTACTCCCCCCTTCCTGCTTGTCCATTCTCCTGCTTTAAACAAATATGAGACAGTTACATGTCCTCTTCTTTTGATTGACTCCTGGTCTGTGCTTTATATCAGTGGTTCATAACCTCCCTGATGCTGCCACCCTTTTAGACAGCTCCTCAGGTTGTGGGGACCCCCCAACCATTTAGTCTCTACTTCATAACTGTAATTTCACTACTCTGAATCATAATGTAAATATCAAATATACAGGATATCTGATATGCGACCCCTAGAGGGATTTCGACCCACAGGTTGAGAACCACTGCTCTATATCATGTCAGAAATAAGTTTAATTCATATTTTTCATTGGCTGACCAGACATCTGGTTGGAACTGGCTAGTGTGTGAATATCACAGAGCACTGCTCCATATCATAGCTCAGAGCTATTTTTTTTTTTTTTTTTTTTTTTTTTGTATAGCGTCTTAGTCAGGAGCTCTGAGGCAGTCCATTGATACCTGCACATGTCATGCCAAGACAGCCTGGGATCTGTGACTGATGTCTGCACACAGAAGAGGATGGAAAAGTTAACTCTTATCATAACTCCTCCAAAGTCTGAAAGGTTTTTTTCAGCATTGTTCAGTGTACAGCTGGGCTGATTGAAAAGCCCTGTGCCCCTGTGTGTGAATTTTAAAGGTAAGTATAGTATAATAAAAGCTAATGGTGATTCTTGATGACTTTGGTTGAAACTGGGGCACCTGCAATTTAATTGACATTTCCCCCCCTGAAGCACAACTTTGGAACATCTATGGCAGACCAGTTTGCAGCCGGGTGGAAAATCACTAGATTCACATTAAACTTCTGCAGCCATCAGATGGTATTCATTTGTGGTGGCACAAGGCGGGGTGGGGTGGGGGGGGGAGTAACTTTAGCTCGGGTCTGAAATACAGAGGGAAAGTCTGCAGCTCGGCATGGGGACTTCACACTGTCTAAAGTTAGCAATGCTCCGAACTTGATGTGAGGCCTCCCTCACCCACATTTTGGCATTTCTAGGAAATGTTACATAAAAGAAAGACGAAGAAATAAAATTTAGCTCTACATTATGACTCTGGCAAATATATCTGTGGCTAGGGTAAAAGCTACATGGGACATCTAAGCCGTGCAAATGACTACCATGTGAACGGAATTCTTGGTTGAGTTAGCACTCGCCTGGCAGACAAAGAGAGACAAAAAAAAATATGTAAATTTCTAGTGAAACAAATTCACACTTTTCTTAAAGCAGAAAGCCTTCCTATGATTTGGACCAACCAGTCTGCCTGAGTAATGGTCTTATATGTAAGTGGAAATCCTTTTTGATATTTACACTACTGATTTCTTTAATCTCCACTTTGGAATTAATGGACAATAACACCACATTGCTCCCTCAGCCGCCCAGTACTTGTGCATATTTACCCAAGTGTCTACAGTGAGGATTGTACACAGATCTCTAATCCACCTGCCCGTGTTACTTAAAAGCCCAGATAAAATCAGCAGCCCTTAGATCTTAACCTTTTAAGTCTGAAATGTTTTTAAAGTCTGGCCATGGCAACCAAGGCTGGGGGTGTACACGGGGAAGGAGGAGGAGACAGGGGAGAGGTGAAACCGGAGGAGGATTGCTATATAAAAAGTGTCTCAGCTTGAGCCACCGTTGCATTCAAATAAATCAAAAAACCGTGATAATAATGGTGACGGTGTCCATAAGAAGTGGGAAGGTAACCTCAGCAGACAGAAGCAATCCGGTTTATGGTGCAGTGACCTGGGGCTGTACCTGGCCACCCAGTTGTTGAAACAAACAGCTTTGGGTTTGCTTTCAACTTTCTCTGTGAGTGTGTGTTGAAAAACGGAGTAATAGGGATGGGGGTCCCAAGTATTTACTGCCCCCTAATTATGCTGAATACTCTAAACACACAAAGAAAATACAATACACGTTTCTAGATGTTGAAGTTCCCTGTGGCTATCACATACCACAATTGTGTGCAATGTTTTCTCTGGTTTAAACCATGAACCTAACCATACCAGAAGACCGCATTAAATACAAGTAAGAGATATTTTAAAGCTTTATTGAATGTGAGCTCTGTGCAAGCAGATCAATTCCTAGCCCACATTGTTTCAGTAGTAGGGGCTCATCTCTCACTCCACGCTAATGAAGTAGTGGTTGGTTTTGTTGTAGAACTGAAAGCTTGCCTTGCTTTCTGTCATTTGCTTTATAATTTTTTTTTAACTAAAGAGAAAAAAATCAAACAGAAATTATAGTTTCTTGAATCTTCTCCTGGGGTATGTTAATAGAGTAAAAACTGCATATTTTCAGAACCAGAGATGTGAGGTGAACTGGGTAATTCTTCATTAAAATAATAATCAAAAGATTGTTTTCTTCAACTGTGGGTGAAACAGTTGATTATATATATAATATATAGATATTGCACATATATAAAATATATATTGCATATATATTATATGTATATTGATATCAGTTAACACTTCTCCACTTGAAGAGTTTCCCATTAATGACTGTTTAAACACACCCGGTCAATAGCCCCACACCTCCCAAGCACTGATATGAGGGCTCATCTTTCCATTTTTCATCTCATCTTGATTTTTCCTCAAGGGCAGGCACTATATTTTCTTTATTTCTGTACCCCTGGCATAGAGGGGAAGCTCAGTACATATTTATCAACTGACTGCTTGAATTGCTTAATAGCAGAAACCTATAAACTTTTGATTGAAATGCTGCCCCAAGATCCCACTCCAACTCTAGTTTTATTTGATTCAGTCCTTGCAGCTACTACCAGGTGGCCTGAGCTGCTGTGCGGATGCTCCAGGTTCCTTCCACTGGGGATGTGAGCAGAAAGCCATCCATCAAGAATGGGTTCAGTCCTCTGCTGCTACACACTTAGGACTTAGTCCTCAGATTCTCTTGCTTTTCCTGGTGCCAGCCATAATGGCAAATTCAATATTCAGGCCAAGAGTCTCTTCATGATTAACTGCTTTTATTCCAGACACTGCACTGGTAACTTTATATCCATTATCCTATTTCATATTCTTAGGAACCCTACAAGATCAGTTTCATATGGATATTGTACCATCAGTGCCATCAAGGCATGTGATGTTGAGACTTGCCTAAGCTTATATAGGCCCAGAGCAAGAATTCAATCCAGGATGTTGAATGCATTTGCTGTACAATAAAAACAGACAGGATGCTGGCTCAGCAGGGCAGTGCTCTCCATGCATGTGTGAAGATCTGAGTTCAAACCTTCAGAAACCACATAAAGAGCTAAGCATGGCCACATATGCCTGAAACTTCAGTGGTATGGGTAACAGAAACAGGAGGATCTCTAGGACTTGCTGACTGCCAGCCTAGCTTCGGATTAAGCGAGAGTCTCAAATGCATAAGGTAGAGTGACAGATCAGGACTCCCTATTTCCTCCTCTGGCCACTATGAATGCAATACATGGACAGACACAAACACACACACACACACCAAAAAAACCCTCTCTCACACACATACCACATGCACACACACGCACAACACACAGACTTGTACATACAAAAACACATTTATTAATGAGGCTACCCAGTTTTAAAAGTGTAGTTTTTAAAAAGAAAAGACTACATTAGAAATGGTTCAAAAAGGTATAGAAATGGTCAATAAACACATAGAAATATTCTCAGCTTTATTATTTACTATAGAAAGGAAAATAATTAACACAGTGAGACAACACTTCATACATGCTAGCACAGCTACGAGCATTGGGCAATAACAGATGCTAAGAAAAGAGTGGGGGATGGGGGTGGGGGAGGATTAGAATAGTTGTATTGGACTGGAAGTACAAATATTGTAGAAAATAGATGACTGCTCAAAAAGTTCAACATATGATTACCACATCTCTCAGTGGGTTGTTTATTATGTATGAGAATTTTTTTTAAAAAATGAGACCAACCCAAATATCCACCAACTAATGAATGGATAAGCAAACACAGTTTATCTATATAGTGGAATATTAGTCAGCCACAGAAAGAAAGAAATTTACTACAGTACACATGAGTGAGTTTTGAAGACATTGTGTTAAGCGAAAGAAGCCGGACATAAGTGGCAGCATGCTGAATGATTCCTTTTTGGGTGAAATGTCCAGAGGAGGTGTCTCTACAAGGACAGATGCCAGTTAAGGGTTGCTAGGGAATGAGATTAAAGGTAAAATAAGGAGTGACTACTTTATGGACAGAGCTCTTATTGGTGGGGCTGAATAAATAGTCTAGAATTATGTAATGTTGGTAGTTGTTCTATACTGTGAGCTAAGAGCCATTCAGTCACATACTTTAAAGTAGGTAAAACCATGAATCCTGTTACATGAGTTTTATTCAACTTCAGCCCCGTTTGCCTCACCCACTTCTATCAGGATATTCATCCAGAGGTGGGAGTTTTCCTGCCTGGATACTTGGGGGCAACTGCCTCCTTTGCATCCAGGGGTAGGAGAGGGAACAGTGTGCACAGGACTCATGGTGTACAGCTATAAATATCACTTCTTAAATAACTGGTGCAGCTTCTTGCTGCAACACCGAGCCCAGCACAGTTCCTCAGAAACTCTGTAGATGGTGTCGATGGCCACCTCACCCTGAAGACACCTGATCTCAGAGGCTTAGCTGGGTCAAGTCTGGTTAATGCCTGGGAGGAGGAAACTGTGCAGATCCCGAATGTGATGAAGGTTTTGGATTTGTATATTTATACTTAGGTTATTACACAAACAAACAAACCAACAAAGTTGAGTGGGCTGCCCATAAAGCATGTCCTATGCTTTGCTAGCACTTATCAGAAGCTAACACAGCTGTCATGGGTCTATATGTATGCTATAGTGTCATTTTGTTGAGAAAAGTAAATCCCGTGAATGTGGAAAAAAAAAATATCCCTTTGACTGCTTGAGTGCATCTTTCTTACCCTCCTCTTACTTTCTCTCTCAATCTAGGCCCAACAAGGGTCCCCATAGACACAGAATAAAGGGCATTGTCTGGTGGGGGATTTAATTTCGCTCCATCACAAGTGACCACCGCGGCCCTGTCATTGCAATTGGTCACACTTTTTTGTGTGCTCTATCTCACCGAGGTCCCGTCTCCTCGCAGCCCACGGCCTAAGCTCCTTCTGTGAGACAAAGCTCTTCGACATAATGAAAGAGGTGGAATTGGGAACGAAAAGTCAATGGACACAGTTATCAATTTGGGCCCCACACCCTCTGGCCTCCTGGGATTTGGCCCCAGCAGCCATAGAGGCGCTGGCGGGGCCTGCTGTGTAGGGGAAAAAAAGGCACCACCGCAAGGTTTGCTGAGGCCAAAGGAAGAGCTGGTGGCTGCTGGCCGATGTAATCCAAGGCCCTCCGGAGGAGACCACCACACAGGCGTGTGCGGCTCCCCTCTCCTTGGCCCACCGAGGTGGGCCGCAGTTGGGTTTACATTGCCTTGGTTCATGGGAACATACGCAGCCGAGGTGCAACCTGGGTAGCTGTGAGTGGCATCTCAGCCTTCGCTGCGGGTGTCTGTACAGGTCTGCTGGCTGTTACCACAAACCACAGCCTACTTTGAGATTAATCCTGGAAGATGAATGAATCTAAACAAAAGCGATCGTCTCTTACTTGTGGCGACTCCAGAGACCGCGTTGGGCATTTTGGATGGAAATGGTTTTAGCTTCATCCCTCGGCAAGGTAAAAGGAAGGCACTCTGAAGCCGTCACAGAACGTCGTATATGACGCATTTCTGTCCATGTTTTAACTACTGTCTTCAGGATGGGGCTTCCACTTTATTCAAGTGTTTCTGTTCTAAGTATCTCCACGGCTCACCACGGAATAGCCACACGAGTCTGTAATTTCTCACGCGCACTGGTGGATTTTTACCACACCTCAACTTGCTTGTTTGAAGCACGGGGTCTGCCTGCCCCAGCACTCTTGGAAAGGTGGGTGGGCATCACACATGATGCCATACTTCTAGATCACAACGCCTATAGCCAACAGCGATGCTGCCAAGCTCCCGGGCCCCGGCTGCTGTTCTCCCCGGCGGCTCACACTGGTTTTAAAGGCAACTTCTAGATCTTAGGGAAACAACAGGGAAACCAGCATGTCTGGATGCTGGGGCTCATCTGAGCTGTTCCGTTTGTCCGTTTCTTCTTCCATGTGAGCTCTACAAACAGGGCCAAGGAAGAGGCCACCTTGACATTCGGTTCCGTCACTCATGAAGAGTTTAAGAAATTGACTTAATTTATATTCTGCTTAGTCTCTTCACTGACAAAAATCAGAAGAGTCAGCCTCACCTATGAGGGTATCTGGAGAGCCAACAGCATGGATTTGAAATGCTAGACTACCACAAGCTGCCATACTGTTTCTAAAGGTCTAAGATCTACAACTGGTAATTTTCATTTTTTTTTTGTGTGTGTGTGTGTATGTGTGTGTGTGTGTGTGTGTGTGAATGTGATATGTGTCCATCCTAGTCTGGTCTCTTACTATTAGGAAAACATATTTCTATTTATTTCTTGAGAGAGAGAGAGAGAGAGAGAGAGAGAGAGAGAGAGAGAGAGAGAGAGAGAGGAGAGAGAGAGAGCTTTCTTTTTCTTTCTTGCTTTCAAAGGAGACTAACCATTTCCAACTGCATGGATGCATCACTGACTTTCCTCCATCCAGAGTGCTTTTGCTCAACCATAGCAAGGTATCCATTGCAGCTTGGTACAAAAGCTGTGGAGGCCTCACTGGACCACGTCGAAGTCACCTCCACGCTTGCCACCCTTTCACAATAATCACTGTGACTATTATACTTTTATGGAACTTGTGATCTGACATTCACATTATAAATGTTTGTTATCTACTACACCTCTGGGCACTGGGATAAAAATGATCCTTTACTGGAGCATTGCCCTGTCAGTAGCAACCAGCATAATGCTTGGACTACAGTGAAACTTGTTTAATGAATATTTGCTGCATTTGAAAAGGACGCAGACTATAGATCTCTTTGTGTGCTAATCTTTGTCCATGGAGTAGATGAACCATCCTCACCTCCACCACTTTCTTTTGAAGAATCTGCTTCTTTCAGAGAACACTCCGATGAGGTCTTTGTAAAGGTGATGGGGAGGGGATTCTAGATTCCGTGAGTGTTCTACGGGGTGAGCTATCACAGTTGGTTACGATGCAGATCTTGGAAGACCAAGCTAGTGTCCTGACAGCCTCTGGAAACGCAAATAAGCAACCTGACCGCAAAGCCCAAGGCAGTGATTCCTTCCATGGAACAGACAGCCCAGGAGAAGGGAGAAACTGATCTCCAAGGAGCTGCAGCGAGACATACTCGTCTGGAATGTCCTTGGTTGATATGCTAAGAAGTTTGGGTAGGGTAAAATGAAGTGGGCCAAAGTGCAGAAAAGCCCATTCTGACCATTCACAGCATCCTAGTCTCTGTTGGGAAAAGAGGTGTCAGGTCCCTTCAAGGAATCTCCTCTGGAAAATTGTAAACCTGTGTGATGATGGTAGGGGAACAGGACCTTGTGTTATGACTGACATTAAAATATTTATGGTGATGCCAGGCGGTGGTGGCGCACGCCTTTATTTTTTTTTTTTTTTTTTTTTTTTTTTTTTTTTTTTTTTTTTGGTTTTTTTTGAGACAGGGTTTCTCTTGTGTAGCTTTGCGCCTCTCCTGGAACTCACTTGGTAGACCAGGCTGGCCTCGAACTCACAGAGATCCGCCTGCCTCTGCCTCCCGAGTGCTGGGATTAAAGGCGTGCGCCACCACCGCCCGGCTTGGCGCACGCCTTTAATTCCAGCACTCGGGAGGCAGAGGCAGGCGGATCTCTGTGAGTTCGAGGCCAGCCTGGTCTCCAAAGTGAGTTCCAGGAAAGGCGCAAAGCTACACAGAGAAATCCTGTCTCAAAAAAGACAAACAAACAAAAAATAAATAAAATAAAATATTTATGGTGAGAATTAGGCTATACTATAGTTTGAGTCTAAAATATCTTCCAAAGGGCCATGTATTAAAAGCTTGCAAGGCACTATGGGTGAGGTGATGGAGGTTTTAAGAGGGGACCTTTAAACTACTGGGATGGACTCTCAAAGGAGACTGTGGGATGCTAGCCTCTTTGTTCCTTGTTGGCCACCATGATTAATACTTCCACCATAATGTGCTGCTGCCTTACCTCAGGCCCTAAAGGAAGGTGACTGGTGAAACTGTGAGCCAGGAGGAACTCTCCTCTTTTAGAGTGGATTCTCTCCGGTATTGGTACATGGGATATGTATGAAATGAGAAATGATGATGGGAGATGATGAAAACAGGATGGTCAGTAACATTCGCCAGAGAAGTAATTATGACCGGGTGGTGGTGGTGCACACCTTTAATCCCAGCACTTGGGAGGCAGAGACAGGCAGATTTCCAAGGTCAAGTCCAGTCTGGTCTCCAGAGTGAGTCAGAGGACAGTCAGGGGTACACAAAGAAACCCTGCCTCAAAAACACTAACCACCCTCCCCCCACAAAAAAAGAAAAAAATAATTACAGATGCATAAGTTTTTCTTTCTTTTCATGAGTTTTTGAGGTTACTATACATGTTAATGGGTTTCACTGTGACCCTTTCACACACGTGTGTTTTTACACTTTGTTCTCTCCACCTTCACTGATGTTCCCTCACCAGGTTTCCTGCCACCCCCCAGGCTGATTTTCTTCTTCTCCCCAGAAAGTCACGAAGTATTTTCAAAAGTTTAAAAATGTCCACCCAGTTGTGGAGGTGAGTGTTGAGTAAGGAGAAGAGGGGAGGGAGGAGGCTCTGGGTGAAGGATATGAAGCCACCTTCAGGTTATTCTGTCTTAGCTCATCTACATCTTTACCTGGATGACTTGTCACTTTCCCCCCCGCTTCCCGGAACTAGATCCTGAACTTCAGGCCTGATGACTGATGCGGTATTTCTTCCAGCAAACCTCTGGGTGGTCATGCCTTACTTTCAGAGAAAAAAAAAAAATGATACCGAGAGCTTTCCAGACTATTCTCCTAAGCTTTCGCCTTCCAAGGGAAAGGACCCATCTGTAAGGGCACAGCATGTCCAAATGACAGACAGAAGGCAGCCATCCACGACCAGGCCAGCCAGGATGGTTATGGCCCAGAATAGTTGCACCAATGAACTGCCTTCCAGTCCAGACTGGAAAGATAACTTCCTCATTTTCATTCCTCTACATCTCTCCCATTTTAAATGCATTAATAGAGCAAGAAAAAAATTCTCTCTACATTACAAACTTTTGGCGACAATGAAGCATTTGATGTGATTACCTTTTATGGAATGTTTTTGTTCCTTCTCAAAAATATTATTGGCTTAATGGAAGAGGAGAGACACAGATTTTGTGAATTGTTTGGTCTGGAAAAATATTGCAAAGTCTGTTTGCACATTTCAAACAGAGCTACCAATGTCTCCTTAGATGAACTTTGAATGGAATCAAATGATCAGATCCTCTACGTGGATGTTCTTACACCATCAGTTTTGAACTGTGAAACACGTATAACACATCCTAGGACCAGGGCCCAGAAATACAGAGCAGGTAGCACTGACTAGCACTGAGTAGGGTACCAGTCTCATGCTGTGGCTTCCCTCAAACAGTCTTTCAGTAAACACAGAGCTCCGGTCGTGATGGGTGCCAGGGCACACAGGCCCAGGTGGAGAGTGTGTGGCTTTGGTGACTGGATTTTCATAGCTCACTAAACATGGTGGTCACAGGAAGAAAAAGGAGTGATTGTGTGAGAACTTAGCTTTGTTCTATAGCTTTTATTTGCATTTATAAATATTCCCATGATAGATGTCAGTCTAAAGGACCCATTATTTAAAAGAAACCCAAATGAAAGTGGACCAGCAATATGTCTGGGATTCTGAACTGTCTAGACCAGTCTAAATTCATGAGTCTAAATTCCCAGTCCTGGGCCCTATTTAAATACTGCTTGAATTTGCACTGTCTTTACACAGATCTTTGGAAAAAGCAGCTGTCTTGGAAGAAACTGTTCCCAACTTTCCACTTGCCTGCCTTCAACAGCATCCAATGCAATACCAGTTAAGGGAGTGCGGTGGTCAAGGCTGCTGGTGGTGGGCATATTATAGTGACCTTTGAGAAAAAAGGCAAAGAACACTTTATCTGAGGTCCCTTTGAGCTTCTATAGTGAACCACTCTAGCCCAGGTGACTTAAAAGCAACACGAATCTCAGATCTTTATACCCTAGAGACAACAAGTATTAAGATCAAGAACCTGGCAGATTTGGTGTCAGGTGAGAAGCTCCTTTCTCAAGATCACATCTCAGGGTATCCTCGTAGGGTGGAAAGGGCAGAAAAGCTAGTTTGGGTGTATTCATAAAGATACTAATTCCTGTCACTGTCTTGACCTATTACCTCCCAAAGGCTCCATTTCCTAAGACCTTGGGGGTTAGGATTTCAACACATGAATGTGAGGTTACAATATGCCCCGAGAACAAGCTTCAAATAGGATCGAAAAGACTGCGGGACAATGTGCTCAGTACCATGTTTGACAGTTTCTACCGGTGCTCAGCCATTAGGCCATTGCTTATTAAGGTAGACCAAGAGCTCAAGACATTGAGAAGTCAAGATTTTCCCATCAGAGTCCTCGTCACACTCAAATCATTTTAGATGGCTTGGAGAAAGGTTTCTTCCTACAAAGTGTAAAGGGAAATGATTTCTGACTTGAAGTAGCTACTAGAAAATAGAAAATATAAAGGGGGAAGTTTCCAAGGCTTGAGATAACGATCACATTTCTCCAGGGGAGGATGGCTTTGTG